GTAGGAAATCTTATAAGGAGTTTTGTATAACATTTTCATATCTTAGATTTAAAAAGAAAAATTTTTATGAAATCTAACTCGAAATAATTTTGCAAATTTTTGTGATTTTTCCATATTTTGTCATTTTTTGAACTTTAAATGCTTAAAAAAAAGAACTGTGACTAACGATTTTTAATATTTTTCATCTGTGTTTGAAACAATATAGTAGGAGCCTTGTATTCAATTTTCAAGTATTTTTACTCGACAAATAAATTTTTATTGATATTCATAAAAAAAAAAAACTAATAAAATTGGAAACTGAAAATGTCCCTAAACAGTTCAAAATAATAAAAAAAATTTTGAAAATGTTATCGTGTATAGAAAATGCAAATATAAACAACCACTGAAAATTTCATATATCTACGGTCGTTTGTTTTAAAGTTACACCAAAAACCAAAATCGATTTTCTCGAAAACAGATTTTGCGTAAAAATTCCCGTTTTTCCTTAATTTTTCTTTTGTTTTTCCCGGCGCTTTTGAAAACAACTGGGAAATTTAACTTCCCCAATGCACCAACGATATTCACTTTCCAATCGAACAAGATACTGAAGTTGAAAATCGAAGCATTATTTCGACTACTCATGTACACAGACACAAAAAAAAATAAAAAATAAAAAAACACACATCATTGTAAAATCAATAGGTACATTCATCGTTCCACTCAGAATCTAAAATAATTTTATTATAATATCTATAAAATAATATTATTAAATTACTGAATAAATATTATGTCAGTTGGATAGTTATGTTATTATAAAAACATTATTTTCATAACAATATATTTGTGTACTGTAATAATAATAATATCATTACACGATTGCTATCTGGGTAATAGTTCAAATTTTGAAAATATTTATCAAATTTCCAAAAATCCAAGTGTTCCAATCCAAAATCCTCAGACTTATTGTCCTCCTTATATCTCTAATCACACCCTTCACACAGATCTCCATACCCCTAAAGTCACTGAAACAGCCAAGTTATTTTACTCCAAATTCAGAAACCGCCTTCATAACCACACAAACCCTCATGTTAAAAAGGGTAAACGGACAATCGGTCCCCGGACAATTGGTCCCCACGAAAAAATGCGGCATGCGGACAAATTGGTCCCCGACATTATTTTATACGCGGACAATTGGTCCCCGGTAATATTTTATGTTATTTAATATTTTATTTTTATTATTATTAACCAAGGCCGTATGTGAGGGGGGAAACAAAAATCAATAAGATTACAATATACATATTTTTGACCCCCCCCCTCCCCGAAAAATTCCTGTTGTGTATATATTGTATACCTATATAAGAATTTACAGTACCTAATATATGAGAATGTTTAAAATTTTATTAAAATAAATATTATATTTAATTATAAAATAAATTTTAGTATTAATTTTATTTAACTTTTTTATTATTTTTACTTTTTTCAGTGTCACGAGAATTTGAATTATATTATATGTGAATGTTTTATGTTAAAAAATTATTTTGTGTTTAACTTTTAAGCCGGGGACCAATTGTCCGTGTATGAAATTATGACGGGGACCAATTGTCCGCATGCCGCATTTTTTCGCGGGGACCAATTGTCCGGGGACCGATTGTCCTAGATCCGTTAAAAAGTTACTATCTATCTCCATCCCTGGATATCCCCCTAGAAGACTCAAACGACAATGGCCTCGAGATCTTATAAATTAAAATCATAAACCTAAAATCATAAAATCATAAATAAATTGTAAATTCACGCCGAAGTGCCTTCGCTGGTTGGTTCTTCCCTCAAGTTATTCACGCTCATAAATTATAATTTTAAAAATAACCATCATTTATGCTTATTGTACTTTTATTTTCTTATGTACAGATTGTATAGTTTCTAGATTAAAAATAAAAAAAAATAAAAAAATTTACCAAATTTAAAATTTTATTATATAATTTAACTTTTATAGCTAAAGATTGAAAATTTAAAATAATGTTCCACTTAAATAGGTTGTACATTTATACTGTATTCTCAATGAATTGTGTATTTTTAAATTTTAAATTACGATATTGTGTTTTTTAATAACTTATTAACTATTAATGTATTTAACTATTTTAATTATAATGAATATAATAAAATATAATAATATTATAATTTATAATGAAAATGATGTTATCGGTTTATCAATGTTATCACATTTTGATAACTGCAAAAAAGGGGCTAAATGTAGGCAATATTATATACGGACACAAACATTTTTTTCCTGCGAAGATCCATTCGTTTTTTAGGTGAACGGCCACCTAGATCCCCGGTTGACTAGATCCTCAAGATCTAAATGACACGAACGGGATCTAGTTAACAGGGGATCTAAATAACCACGAGGAACTAGTTGACCATAGTCCATAGGAGACCTAGTTGTCTCGGGATCTAAATTACCAGATAAAATCATGAAAATTTCAAATATTTATAAAAATAAATAATAATTACAATTTATAGGGACTTGAAATTTGTAAGCTTTTTATAAGGATTAGCAACCATTGACCTTATACTCATTTATGCTCACTAAGCATTTATGGTAGGGTAGTCATACAGTCATACATAACACACACGTCACACACATAGGTAGGTCGACCTATATAATACTACCTACTAATATATATATTATATATTGTATTTATATTAACGCATAAGTTATAAAAACTAATTTGCATGGGGCAACCTCATTTGACTACATTTGCCTTGGTAAAAAAGTATTTTATAAATAAAAAGATCAACTATAATGATAATAATATAATTAAGAATATTTTCGGGGGGGAAAGTTCGCAGAGTAGTCAAGTGCGTACCATAGTACCATACTACCATGACTGGCATAGTGGCATGAGTGCATGACTCCCCGTGCACACGCTTTATGGGCTTATATTTATTACTTCATAAAGTTTATAATGTAAACTTTACACTCTATATAAGACTACATTATAGTATTATACTAATATACCTACTAAATACACTGAATATTACGATCGCATTCAAAGGAATTCGCGCTTCCAATAACATCGTTCAATTTTCAAGAACTTAAGCTAAACGGATGCGATGGGTGCGTATAGTAAGTTACTTTTTTGTCTGAGGTAACATATTTGAATTTCATTGATTTTTTTAGAGGAATATGAATGATTTTATTCTTCAAGTTAGGTTATTTATTCTTAAATATAGGGAATTTAAATATTTTTTATTATTAAGTTTTTATCATTTTTTCTTTAGCAATTTAGTCAATACCTATCATATTACATATATTATGATAATATTCATTTAATAATGTCGATTTATTATTAAACTATTGTCTATATCGAGTATTTAAAATTGAAGGGTACCTTGCAATGTGCTATGTCAAAATTTAAAATTAATTAGTAAATACTACTAAATAATAACCGTTTTATCATGAAAACTAAAATAGTGTCTTTTCAACTTTTATTTATTAAATTGTGTGTTTAAATGTTCCTGTAAATTAGCTTACTTGAAATAAACAATTTGAACATTATAAAAACAATACAACTACCTTATTAAAAAATGTATTGTTAACATTTTAAAATTATTAAAGAATAAAAAATGTTATTTATTTCAAAAACGAAGAAAGGAACTAATTTCTTTCTTTAAGCCAGGAACAAGAAAGGATTTAGTTCCTTTTTAACAATATGAACACATTTGTATGTGAACTAGGTCCTTTTTGAAAGGAACTTCCCAAGCACTGATCGAGATTCACATGTGTCGCAACTTGCAAGTATATCTCTAACTGTGTCATTAAAATTAGAATTGATATTTAAATGTTAAAAAAGTATATATATTTAACTTTTATTCCAACTTATTAATTATTAACTAATATTATTTAATGGTATTAGTTATCATAGTTATTAGGTACTGACACAGAACAAGTATACATTTTATATTTTTCTTAGGAGTCATAAGAAAGACAAATATGTTACATTTATTTTAAGTTTGATGTCCAGCTAATCAAGAGATTTATTTTCCATAACTTGTAATTTTGAATACAATTCAATACACATTTTTGCAATAAAAGGACTTTGTTCCTTTTGGCAAAATAAGATTGGTGATATTATTATGAAATGTATCACAACATAAGATTGGTGATATTATTATAAAATAAGATTGGTGATATTATTATAACATGTATCACAAAATAAGATGCCAAAGGTGGGCAAGTTAATGAAAATAATTAACTGTGGCAAGTTAAGTTAATCCAAGTAAATTGCCTTCAGTTAAGTTAAAAGTTAACAAACAAAAAATGTTTAAATGGATAAGTTTAAAGTTAAGATAGAAAATAAAATTAACTTAACTCAGTTAAAAAAAACATTTTTTTGTGCATTTTGTTATACAAACATTTACCAAAGACGTTTAACACTGTGTAAAAAACTAGTTAATGCCCACCTTTGCAAGATGCGATTGTATTTCTGATATTGCCCAACCTCGATGGTAACTAATTAAATGGTTCACTAAATATGTAATGGGCCAATCATGAGTCTTTAGAAGAAGAATTAAATAACCTCTGTAAGGAACCTGAGGTAAATGTGTTTTATACTTTTATACTATTTAATTTATATTTATATTTTGAGCTATAAAGATTTTAGTGTATAAGACACACTACAGTTTTTAGTTTACATTTATTCATTATTTGGGATATTATTTAATAAGGTGTTAGTCTAAAACAATATTATACCCACATTATACATTACATTAAAATATTATATAAGCTTAGTTATAAAATTGTTGCAATAAAACCAATCTCAAAAATAAGCAAATAATGCAAGTCCTGAACTTGGATCATTATGTACCTATGCATTTATCTGGCTACCCTAAAATAACACAAAACTTAATATTTTAATTTTTGATTTTCAGGATATGTAAATATAAAATAAATAACAATAAAATAATTTATTATATATTATTATTATATTTATGCAATTGTTTTCAATCATACTATATTACTATTATTGTATAGCTAAATAGCTTTCAACTTGTCCTCTGCACAGTGGACATCTGTAATAGGGTTGACGGCTATATGGAGCCATTGTAGAATAGCTTGTGAAGCAAGGCTCACATAGACCTTGATGCATACATGGTAAAACAATTACTGTTGGCAGCGAAAATATACATATGTAGCACCGGCGCTCAACTATTGGGGTGACTAAAAGATTAAAAGATTATAATTATCAATCAATAGTTAAGATTAATTTAAATTATAAATAATTACTAGTCAGATCTTCACCATGGATCCAATTTGTATATGGTCTAATAGCCTGTGACCTAGCCATCACATTTTCCTCATCGTTTGAATCAGAGTTTTCTAAAACTAAAACAACGAAAACTATTATTACTTTAATTATTACACACGTTTATTAAAATGTGAACAACAAATATGGCATTTGCGCTGAATTATATAGATTAGGGGAACTAATTTTTATTTATTTAGTTTTCAATCAAAAGTTATTATAGCTTAATATCTGCAGTTACATTACAAAATATAATTAGATATATAATAAAATATATGAATTAAGATTATAATTATCAATTAATAGCTGAAATTAGTTTAAATTATTAATAATTACTATTAAAGTCTTCGTTTTCAATTTGGTTAGCCCGTGGTATAACAGCTATAACATTTTCATCATTATCATCGGAATCAGATGATACATCAAAAACTAAAACAAGAAAATTTATTTTCATTATTATTTTTTCAATCACACACATTTAAAATTATTAATTTCTTACGATTTGCAGGAACAGGTTGTCGTATCCGCGCAGGCAATAATCTTGCAAGAATTTCTTCCCGTGATGGATGAGGCGGTAACTCAAACAAAATTGGAGATGGAGGACGTGGTACATTAATCGCAGGTTCTATATGAAGTGGTTGAGGTTGTGGGTCATTCACTGGTTGAATTTGAAGTGGTTGAGGTCGTAAGACACCAAAATTTGCTGTTGCATGTCGTGAACAGACAAGAAACTCCAATATAGAATACCGCCCTTCATTTAGCAGTCTCATTGCCAAATCTAGACGCCTTTGGTTGTCTATTCATACCTGCCGTTGCGGCTCTCTTATTTGTTCACCATCAGTTACCACAGTATAGTCTATTAGTATACCTCTAGAGTATGTAATTAGTCCTTCTGTAAAATGATTTATAGATAATTATCAATTCAATTGAATATTTTATTTTATAATTCGACATGCTCCTTGTTTTAATTTATAGTGTATAGGTAATATACCTAACAAAAGATTAAATGTCCACATATTATGCTCATATTATACAAAACATAAAATTAGTGCAATTTTGGAATTTAATCCATTTAATTTGTAAATCACAAATTAGTGTAGCATATTATCGTATTATTGAAATATTTGCCACATCTAACACTAACAGTGACTTATCCTGCAAAAGTATCATATCCGACGAGAAAAATGCCTTTCTACTACCACTGACCTTACCCTTTTTTTTTCTTATATTATGTATAGGTACCTATGTAGTATTATAAATAATTAATTAAATTTAATGATAAATCATTATTATTACTCAGAAATATCCACGGTTCTGGGTGGTGTCTGTTTCCCATATGCAAAAGTAAGTGTTGATGACTGACTTCCAGTACATTATTGGTGCGCCAAACTGTGTCATTCACCGATAACATATCTGCATTAACTCCTATTATTCATAAAAAATAATATAATATTTAGTTAGTGTTATTAAATATATAACTGTAGATTTTTTTATATGTACAGACTAAACATACCTTGTAGCCATGTCGACCGATAATAATCAAAAAGTTGATTAAATTGTCCTCCATTGTCGCCTAAACTTAACAGCTCATTTTCACGGTACATACGTTTAATGCTTTCAAAACCCTCCATGATTAAGTTTTGTGGCAGAAGTGGTAATGTCATCAACAAATGGACAATATCATACGCCGCTCTATTATCTGTGCATAATTCTGTCAATCCTATATTCATATTTAAACAATAAACATGGTGAGTGTTAATGATTGATCTCAAAATCTATATTGTTTATTATAAGTCATTATATCAACCACACTCACTAATTTTTAATGTTTAATATAAGCAATACAAAAAACAGAACTTTTAGTTGTAAAAGTGTGACATGTAAATTTAAAGAATAATTATAATAATAAGAAAAAAAATGAACTAATAAGAATGCGCTTATATATAAATTGTAGGGATATTAATTCCCAAGCCCCACAACTTTATAACATAACATAGGTATACATTTATAGTATTTTATACATTATGTTACAGCCAAAGACGTTTAAGTATGTTTTACTACCAAAAATCATTGATCAAGAGTCTTCTTAACATATTGTAGTTGTATGTAGTATTTTATATAAGTATATTTAGTATTGTTACAAATATCTTCTATCAATATATAATTTTTTTTTTAAATTCATTTAATTGTAAACACCAAAAACACTGTTTTAAATTTATGTGGGTTTTAACTTTTCAAAACAACATTATAATACCATCATTATAACTTCTGAGTACTCATCCGAATACTCAATACTCTGATACTTGAATACTCATCAGATAAATACAGTGAATATAATAGCTTACCAATATTTCCAACTATTCTCCATACAGCTTGTGAAGAATGAAACCAACAACCTCGTATTACTGTGTTAGGAAATATTGATTTAATGGACGCTATTGCTGCCCTTTCAAAATCAATGATAATGGTTTGTGGTTTCCATTCCGGCACTAAAGTCAGGATTTTGTTGAACAGTGCTGAGTATGCACATTCTGTTTTCCTTGACATTAATGCAAACCCAATTGGAAACCCCTAAGATAAAAATATTTAATACATTTAAATAATTTAGCTATTTTCTTATTGAATAGGTCCCTAGTACCTGTATATTTGCAAACTAAACTTACAGTGTTAAATGTTATGCCCATTATTACATACAACTGTTGGCACTCATTTCCAAATGATGGTGCACTTGCAAATGTGCCATCAAACAAAAATGTCGTACCCGTTCTAAGTATGCTGCAATTTTATTATATTATTAGTATTATTGTTTATTTAAAATTAACAATATTTTGTATTTACTTTATGACTTCAGGTAAAATAAAAAGTAAAATAACTCCTTCCTGTGGCGTGTTACCGATTAGGCCATTATACAAAGTTGCATTATCAAGTTTAGTCAAGTGTGTATAATCTCCACTGAGTTGACCATGGAACTCAGTCATCGACCTAGGACTTACTGGCTGGGTCTGACGTCTATGCCTCCGCATCGTCCTTCGATGTGACACAAATGCACCAACGTGAACATTTATAAATTCTGCTGAAGTGCATGTCTATAATACCATTAAAAAAATATTTATTAATTATAAAGATATTTAATTACACTCATTTTCAAATTAAATTAGAAAATTAGTCGTCTTAACTTTTTGGTTCTTCTCAACCTGTTGTTACCTGTATTTTTAATTAATAATAAATCATTTCTTTTGACAAAATGATCCCGGGCAAAGCATATAATTAATAATAGTATAAATGTATAATGTAAATTAAAAATGATTTTACGTGAATGCGTTTTCTTTATGTCGCATGTGGGCCAGAGATAGAAAAAAAACAGTGAGCTTACATCATCTTAAATTAAAAAGAGTGCTTCATCATAATATTATCAACATTTCATACCTACCTATACATTTACGGGAGACCAAAAACTTGTATATGAAAATAGAGAACCTTTAAAAATATATCTTAATTCTTAATACTTTCCAATGAAGCTCCTTGCTGTTTAATATTGGTATGCTAATGTAACACTTACTTCATTGTAAATGACCCGAAGAGGTATATTTTCAGTCTGTGCCCGTTGGTTACAGATATTTTTGAAATTATGCAGTGCCAATTGATCTTCAGGATGTGTCTCATGGCATATAATAAGAATAACCTTAGTTTTGTCATTGTTTAACACTCTGCCTTTTGCACGACAACTAAAAAAAAAATAATATTTAAAATATTAACATACAGGTACTAATAATGACTATTACCTACTTAATAGCACGGCGCCACGGCCATTTAGAATATATTTTTAAAAGGTTGGTAAGTGGGTGTTGCTCTGCTATACAGTAGGTTACAAGTGAGTCACTAATGGATTGTGTTAAATTTGAATTCAATGATATTATATCATTCTATAAGAAAAACGACTTTGAGCGAAGACGGTCAGTCGGCCTATGTTATTATAGGTACTTTAGTATATTTAATGATATTATTGTTAAATAACAAAGTAGTTGATAAATTATAAACTATTTACTTGGTTCCTAGTTTTAAAAATTCAATCCCTAGCTATGAAAGTTGAACATTTTATAATTTTTAAATTTGATTAATGTTGTCAAAATTTGAACTTAAATGCTTATAAAAAAAAATTGTGCCTACGTATTTTTAATATTTTTTAACTGCTATTGTAATAATATATTATCAGGAGCCTTATATTATTTTCATGCTTTTTGGCCCAACAAATGAAATTGTATTGATATTTGTAGAAAAAAAAAACTAAACAAATTTAAATTTTAAACTGTCTGTAAACAGCTCAAAACAAGTCGAAATACAGGGTGGGGCACTATAACGGCCGATTTTCTAAGACAAATTATAAAATAAAAAAACGAATAAAAATTAATTATTATTTATTATAATGAAGTACATAACTTGCCATTTATTTTTTAAAAATGATGTCTTCAAGTTGATGGCCATCTCTTCTCAAACACTCTTCTAGCCTATTTCGTATTTTTCCACTACACGGCTCTGACAGCAGTGACGTTTTCAGGTGTGCGAATGGTTTTTTGTCGTACAGGCTTCTTTTTTAATGCTGAACCCGTTTCTTCAAAGTTGGTTATCCATATTTTAATAGCCTTAGCCGATGGTACCGAATCATGGCGTTTAAGATTAAAATGAAGACGAAATGCACGCTGTGCGGCTACGTAACTACCTTTTTTGTAAAACAATTTTATCGCATAAGCACGTTGTTTACCACTCCACTGTTCCATGTTTACTAAATGGCATGTTGTCTTAGAACTATTAATAATATTATTGAGAATTCTTTTAGATTCTGAGCGGAGCGATGAATGTATTGGTTTTACAATGATGTATGTTTTTTTTATATTTTTATATTTTTATATTTTTATATTTTTATATTTTTGTGTCTGTCATCACGTTTTGGGACAGTAAAAGTGCTTCGATTTTCTTCAATAGTACCTTTTCTGATAGGAAAGTGAATCTAGTTGGTACTTTGGGGGGTCAAAAGTAAACATTTTCCAGTAGTTTTCACAAGCGCCGGGAAAAACAACATAAAAATTAAGGAAAAACGGGAATTTTTACGCAAAATCGATTTTCCAAAAAATCGAATTTGGTTATTGGTGTAACTTTAAAACAAATGACCGTAGATACATGAAATTTTCACTGGTTGTTTATATTTGCATTTTCTATACACGATAACATTTTCAAAATATTTTGATTTATTTTGAACTGTTTAGGGACATTTTCATTTTCCATTTTTTTTTAGTTTTTTTTCAAAAAATATCAATAAAATTTTATTTGTTGGTTGCGAAAGCTTGAAAATTTAATAGAAGGCTCCTAATATGTTGTTTCAAAGGCAGATGAAAAATACTAAAAATCCTTAGTCACAATTTTTTTTTATAAGCATTTAAAGTTCAAAAATTGACAAAATATGGAAAAATCACGAAAATTAGCAAATTATTTTGAGTTAAGAATTCGTAAAAATTTTTCTTTTTAAATCTAAGATTTGAAAATGAAACACAAGATTCCTTATAAGATTATCTACCTTTATCAATAAAAAAATCTCTACCGCACAGTCAAATTAAATTTTTATGAGCGTTTGAAATTCAAATTTTTACAACATTGGATTTTCACTCGATTTCTCATGTAGCGATTTCCTTATTTTGTTGTAATTCAAAAACGAACAACTGTAATTACATGAAAATTTCACTCAATGTTTAAATTAGCATTTTCTATACACCATACA